GCCTGCATAACGAACAAATGATGGAACAGACTCGTGCGTTCCTTGCTGAGAATAGGCAAAGTATGGTTGGCATATTCAAACGCTTCGCCAAGATCGGTGGAGGGGGTGCTGCCGATCACCATAGCGCCCTGACCAACCTGACCAAATCATATATGGCACTAGTTGCTGCTACGGACTTCTTAGAGGTACGCACTTTAACACGCATGATTTACTTCTTTAATAAATCCGCTAACACTCAGCAGTTTGAGGATAACGAAGTGAAAGAGCTCACTCGACCCAAACTATTCTCGTGAACAAGGACTATGGACAAAGGGTCCAGGCACTTTTGGGGGGAGTAACTGGATTTATTGATGTAACGAAATGGTGTATATGGAAATGATTACTATATTGTGGCCTCCTGCTGTCTTAAACCTATAACCTTGGCATATCTTAAAGGGAGTGATCTCTCTCTCTCTCTCTCTCTTTTTTTTTTTTTTTTTTTCGCTTTTTTTTTTTAAAAAAAAAAAATTGGACCTAAACAATTTTCCATTCCTTGCTGCCAGCTAGGTACATACATAGACGTGTAGAAGTGTTGTTCGGCGAGATATGATATTCCCCACAGGTCAAACATACGGACGTATTATCTTATCCCCGAGTTAAACGTCAACGGAACCTTACCGCGGAGTATCTCTGCTTCAACCCTCCTCTGTGCCAGCTGCCCCCTCCTTTTATCTTCCCTTCCACTACACTTGCCGCATCGCCCGATTCAAAGTCGACAAAGTTTAGGTGGATTTGCAATGAATTGTATAGGCCAGAGATCTTCTGGGCCTTTCCAACGCTGAGCGCTCCTCTTCATATCGTCATCTCGGACAAGACCGGGTAGATGCAGCAAAACTCGAGAGGCGCCACCGAGCAGAGGAGCGGTAAGCGCAAATCGATCGGCAAGAGGAAGCTTTCTGATCAAGAGGAAGCATCACACCAACCTCAGCACCAACAGGCGACGATTTCGGAGCTCCTTTCGCGGAACCACACAACTCAAGGGAAAGAGCATCATCATCATCCTCCTCATCATCAGCTATCCTCCCCGACGAGCAAGCGTCCCCGGCTATCGCCAACCCCCTCGGGTCTAACTCCTGCACAAGGTCCGCGGGGACCAGCTTCATCCAACACCATGTACAATTTCTCAAACCAGGAAACGAAAGACGGTGGATTGTTTGGTCAAGTTAGGCCGGGCACCAACTCCGGAAATGTAGCTGCAAGGCCCCGCTCCTTTAACGCACCAGTGCGCCAAAGCAACTTCACTCCTCACACCGGCGCCAAGAAACTTGTTGTCAAGAATCTGCGGGTGGGCTCTCGGTTGAATCAAGATTCATACTTCGAGAAAATATGGGGCCAGCTTGACGCTGCGCTGACCGCGATCTTCGATGGCGGGAAGCCCGAAATCTCGCTAGAAGAGCTATACAAAGGGGCTGAGAATGTATGTCGTCAAGGGCGAGCTTCAGCGTTGGCCAGACAACTACAAGAGCGATGCCGAGGACATGTATCCGGTAAACTGCGTGATACGCTGGTAGCAAAAGCAGCGGGCGGGAACAACATCGATACGCTACGAGCTGTTGTAGATTCGTGGACGGCATGGCAATCAAAGCTGGTATGTCCCCGTTCACTTTCCGCTCGCCTGCCCTCTCGTAATTGACTAGTTCGCAGGTTACAGTACGCTGGATTTTTTACTATCTCGACCAATCGTTCCTCCTCCACTCCAAGGAATACCCAGTTATACGTGAGATGGGCTTGATCCAGTTCCGGCAACACATATTCAATGATCCAGTCTTACAACCCCAAGTTTTACAGGGCGCCTGCGACCTGATCGAAGCGGACCGTGACGAAGGGCGCAGCATGTCGGCCGACTCATCTTTGCTTCGGAATGCTATTGAATTTTTCCATGGCCTTGATGTTTATACTACTGGTTTTGAGCCTCTCTTTGTCTCCGAATCGAAGAAGTTCTTCGCATTATGGGCTCAGCATGAAGCCTCAGGATATCTTGCCACTTTCGCGGGAAACAGCCACCGCTTAATTGAACAAGAGGTAGACAGGTGTACATTGTTCTCTTTAAATCGGAGCACAAAACAGAAATTGTCTGAACTTTTGGATCAGGAGTTAGTGGCAGAACAAGAGGATGTTCTTCTCAATCAAAATGATATTCTTGGTCTGCTGCGGGCCGGCAATAAGACTGCCTTGGAAAAGCTGTATACGCTTCTTCAACGAAGGGATTTGGGGGCGAAATTGAAAACGGCATTTAGCAGTTACATTGTTGAAGAGGGTACCAATATTGTCTTTGACGATGAAAAAGAGGCGGAAATGGTGGCCCGGCTATTAGATTTCAAACAGCAGCTTGACGAAACTTGGGTCAACTCCTTCCATCGACATGAAGAGCTGGGACACGCATTGCGCGAGGCCTTTGAGACGTTCATGAACAAGGGACGAAAGTCTGGCGCATCCGGAGGCACAGATAATCCAAAGACTGGGGAGATGATTGCCAAATATGTGGATAGATTACTCAAAGGCGGGTGGAAATTGCCTTCTGGACGGAAAGCCGAGGAAGTTCCCCTTGCCGACGAGGATGCCGAAATTAATCGACAGTTAGACCAAGTGTTGGATCTCTTCCGATTTGTACATGGCAAAGCTGTATTTGAGGCATTTTACAAGAACGACCTTGCTCGTCGGCTATTGATGGGCCGGAGTGCCAGTGATGATGCAGAGAAAAGCATGTTAGCGAGGCTCAAGACAGGTTCGTTCTGATTTCGATCGACAGAAAATGACATGGATGCATGGAAGCTAACGTTGACGATTGGTTAGAATGCGGTTCCAGCTTCACGCACAACCTAGAATCTATGTTTAAAGACATGGACGTGGCGCGGGATGAAATGGCGGCGTATAATTCTATTCAGCGTGAACGCAAGCACCGATTACCCGTGGATTTGAATGTCAGTGTGCTCTCTGCAGCCGCCTGGCCGTCCTATCCCGATGTTCAGGTGCGAATACCGCCCGAAATAGCGACGGCTGTCAGCGAGTTCGAAAAGTTTTACTACAGTAAATACAACGGGCGCAAACTTAATTGGAAGCACCAACTCGCGCACTGCCAACTGCGCGCAAGGTTTCCCAAAGGCGATAAGGAACTGGTAGTCAGTTCATTCCAGGCCATCGTGCTCCTGTTATTTAACGACGTGCCAGAGAAGGAGACTCTCAGCTATCTACAGATCCAGGAGGCGACGAAGTTATGTCAGTACCCCAATTTCTCAAGTCTTCGGTTACCCATACTCTCTGGGCTGCTGCTAACGGACGTGATATAGCTGACCAGGAGCTAAAACGGACCCTTCAATCGCTCGCATGCGCCAAATACCGAGTGCTTGTTAAGAAGCCGAAGGGTCGAGAAGTCAACACAACGGACGAGTTCTCGTACAACGAGGCATTCTCCGACGTGAAGATGCGGATCAAGATCAATCAGATCCAGCTGAAGGAGACTAAAGAGGAGAATAAGACGACACACGAGCGGGTGGCAGCTGATCGCCATTATGAGACTCAGGCAGCTATTGTGCGAATTATGAAGAGTCGGAAGACCATCACACACCCCGAATTGGTAGCGGAGGTGATTAAAGCGACGCGCAGCCGAGGAGTGCTCGAGCCTACGGATATCAAGAAGAACATTGAGAAGTGAGTGACTCTGGGAATTTTTCTTTATTGTTGAGAGTCTGATTACTAACTACGAGTGCTCTACAGGCTGATTGAAAAGGACTATATGGAGAGAGAAGAGGGAAACCGGTATCAGTATGTGGCATAATGGAACATTTAGAGACGACCGTATCTTTGTCAGCAAGACATTATTATCATGTGTTTAATTTCTCGAGCATCATATGACACGAAGCAAACGTTCTTTAATATACTAGTACAACCAGAGACATTGTGTGGGGGGGTACTTTGTTCCCCGGTCCATCGGCCATGCAGTAGCTGCGGCCGCGGAAATCTAATCGTGTTCCCTGTTAAGTTATTATTAACCTTCCCCCGTGGTCACGGGATGGCATGTCCAGCCCCCACGCGGTGCCGATCCGAACATCCCTGAGAAAAGTTCGGCATTGGCAGACGGAGCCCTCCGTACGCTGGGTTATCTCTCCATGCGTAGTATAATCCACTTTTTGTTTTATTTATTTTTTTTCTTTTTAGTATTATTATTTTAATCTCGCATTGTACAGAGTACTCCGTATAATCCTCTCTATTATCAATAGCATCATGATTACTTGCGGACCTAGCATCCAAATGAGTTCCACTAACCGGTTTTGTGGCGAGGTGATCGACAATTGTCAAGATTCCATGATCGTTGTCATCATCATTGAATGAGTGATGAGATAATTGCGTACTGAACGGTGAGCAAGCAAAGTCAAAGACAGCATACAATCTGTACTCGACGCATCACCACAACTCCTTTCGACTCTCGCCCGAGAAGACCGAAACTCGGTAGAGAACGAGCTACCAAAAAATAAATCAAAAATAAGCATAATCAAAGGGATGGTCCGGAATTGGTAAAATGTTATGTATCATCGGATGTAATGAAATGAAACGGAAGAATCAAAAACGGTCTGGGCTCGTTGGGGGTTCACGTGGATGGCTGCGCTTTTTCTTTTTATCCACAGCAACCTTCCCTATGTCTCAATCTCAACCCTGAGAGACGGGCGATCAGGAGGAATCCTTAATGGAGCACTTCGAGGAACTAGGGATCAGCTTGAATAGTATGCGACTACGTACGCGCCTATCATTGGGAGTTCCTAATACAGTAATGATTAGAGCCCTTCAACCACGCTGGTGGATTTCCATTAGATCTGACAGCGGGGAAACTAGGCTTTTTTTTAAGGTCCCATGATCGATTTTTATGTTGGGGATGTTTCTAGCGCCGTTCTCCCCTTTTGGTCGCTTCCCTTCATGAGTAAACTATGAAACTATTCGTTCTAGAAATTATTCTGGCTACGGATCTATATTTTCTTTTTTTGCCTTTTTTATTTTTGTCTTTTCTACTGTTTTTCCTGTTTCACACCACTCCTTTTATGTTTATCTTTATTGTTTTTTTATTTATTTTATTTTTTTTCAGATTGCATAAAACCTTAGAAATGGACATCTTGAAGTTGTGGATTCCTCAATTGACCTATTCCTGTAATTTCTCTGCCCGAATTTTCAATCTGATAGTGAAAGGGACTCGTAATAGACACCTATACAGAAAATATATCATATGCATGCAGAGAATAGGAATAATTCCAATAGTGTGTACCTGCTGCGTCCTCTGTAGATCTTCGGGCATCCCGCAATGCATACTGGGTCGCTGGACGCATGCCGATATACGTGGAGTGCAATCTGTTGGGATACTTCTCGCACTCATCGGCGCGGGAGTAAGGGATGAGTAGAATGTACATCACGAGCACTGAAAGATTTTCATTTTCATTTTATGTTTTATTTTATTTTTTCAATTGCATCAGGATGAAATCTGCATACTTATGTAAGGATGGGCTGATAAATCGAGGTATAGTAATCATCAACAATCATCAGACATCTCTACAGAGTATGTATGTACATACATAGGTTGTATTGTAAATTGATACCTAGTAACCATGGTATGTAGATGCACCCGGAAGGTGATATGGATCGACACTCGCGACATCCACTCGATAAGTCCTCCAGTTTAACAACTGGCAATTATCAATTTCAATTTTTGACCACAAAGAAATTATCCGCGGAGGAAGCCGTAGCCGCATCCATCGAACGGAAGTATCCAAGCGTTTTGCTTACCCCAAGCCCATCCCATACGAGGGGTTGAAGCGGGAATGCCACAGATGGTAATCCGAAGCGTTCGTTCAAAAAGTCGCCCGTAGTCGTCCAAGGTTCCAGACCGACCCATGGGGTTTCGCGGCCGGCGGGAAGTTGATTACCTATGGACAAGGCCTTAGAACAATGTATAATTGGTGTAATATTACGAGTCCGCAGGTACCGATGTATGGAGTGCTCCGTACATACCTCGCAGTGGGCTAGACCACTTAGGTACTTACTCGATTAGGTACTCCTCGGTATAGCTGCCTCGCTCGAATGTGCTGTACTATCGTGAAGTACTATTTCATTGCCTATCTGGGGTTGATGGGTCTCATTGCAATCCATCATTGTCCATGTGAACTGAAAAAAAAAATTAAAAAAAGAACAAACAGGTTTGACAACACCGTCAACGGGTTCACCTGGTTACAACTTCTTGACTACTTGAGTACAGTCATTCCCTTGTATAAGTATAGGTACAACGCTCCCCTTCACTCTCAGTCTTCCCTGATTGTTATTATCTTCCACTCCTCTATCCTCCAGCTCTTGTCCTCTGGGTGACACTCACCTCATTATACTTACTACTACTACTCAATTCGTCTCGACTTGTTTGAATAACTCTCAGGCTCACGATTACCTCATCCTGATATTATTAGGTTTTCTCCACCTGTCCAATATATTGTGAGTATCACTGGCAAATGACATGTCCACCTATCCTTGTGATCTCCAGTTTTTTTTTTCTGTCGCAAGAGAGCCTCCGGACTGATAGATAATAGATCATTTCTCCACTTTTTCCCCGCCTCTCACGGACGATAGGGCGATTGTAACTTCCGCGCCAGTCCTATACTCGTGATACATCTCGGCGCAAACCTAAGCGAGTTATCCCGGCTCTTAGATTAGGAAGAGTTTCGCCCAGAAACCCGACCAAACTTCGCTGGAATCTTAGCGAGGAAGAGACGCTTATAAGCAGACGAATACCCTCCTGGCCGAGTGTATCCTTTTTGTCGCAATCCTCAACTGATCTCGATAACCACCAAGACTTCCGGTCTTTTCTCCACAGCCGAAGGCGAACGTCCAATCCGGTATCGACGTCATACTCTTCCAGTTGTTTGCTGCAAATCATTAGGCAATTACACACATCATACATCATGTCTACACAGGGTATGTTGCAAGCCAGGATTTCTAAAATTATCCCATCTTATTGTCTTGTTCTTCTCGTTGGGGCCTTATACACCTCCCTCGCGATCAGACCCACGATCATCATGGAACGAACCCCGATGTTCTCCACAAACAGAACTAAAACCCCAGAAAATATGCATTGACAGATGCACTAACGCAACACAGCCAAACACTTTTTCTCGGACCCGAACCATCTGGTTGTCACCGCCCTTCATTCTTTGACTCTGACAAACCCTTCTCTTGCTTTTGATCCTGAGAACAAAATCATTTTCCGCCGCCCTGATTCGCTCAAAAAGAAGAAGGTCGCAATCATTTCCGGCGGTGGCTCCGGCCACGAACCGGCTTTCGCGGGCTTTGTCGGCCAGGGATTCCTAGATGCTTCAATCGCTGGCACTATCTTCGCCTCTCCCTCTGCTGTACAAATCCGGAAAGCTGCTCTCGACTATGTTGATAATGAGCAAGGTGTGCTCATCATTCCCATGAACTACACCGGCGATGTGCTCAACTTCGGTATGGCTGCCGAGAAGGCACGCGCCGCCGGAATCAAGACTGAATTTTTTGCTATCAATGACGACGCTGGCGTCGGCAAGAAGAAGGGCGGAAAAGTCGGCCGTCGCGGTATTGGTGGCGGAATCCTCGTGCTGAAAATTGTCAGTGCCTTGGCTGAGACGGGGTAAGTTGCCTATTTTGTACACTGGTAAAAATGAGGGCCCTCATGCTGACAGAAAACCAGTGCTTCTCTCGAGGAAATCCACCGTGTTGCTAAACAGGCAAACTCGCTGCTCGCAACTGTGGGTTCCTCCCTAGAGCACGTCCACATCCCCGGCAGACCTACTTCAGAGGATACTATTCCTGTTGGAGAGGTCGAAGTTGGAATGGGTATTCACAATGAACCCGGATCTCATCGAATGAAATTCACTTTGCCAGAGCTAGTGAAGACCATGCTTTTCCAAATCTTGGATCACAACGATCCTGACCGTGCTTTTATTACACGCGAACAGGGCGATGAGTTCGTGCTCCTGATTAACAACCTGGGTGGTGTGAGCAGCCTGGAGCTCTCTGGTATCACCGACGAAGTATATCGTCAGCTTGAGCGGGACTATAGCATCAAACCTGTACGAGTTATTCAAGGAACTTTCCTGACCAGTCTAAACGGGTTGGGCTTCAGCGCTTCTCTGTTGAAGCTCGCTGACAATGGTTTGGGCGCTGGCAAATCCTTCCTTGAGCTTTTGGATGCTCCCGCTGAGGCAGTTGGTTGGTCCGCTCCAATCCCAACATCCACCTGGGACCGTCGGACCGATGCTCCTGTAGAGCTCAAGAAGACCAAGCTGGCTGAGGAACAGCCTAGTAACGTTAAGTGTATGCTTGATTTGCCCCACCTTCCGTATCCCATTCCTGTGGACGCACGCTGACAAAATGCATCAGTGGACCCTGCTACTATTAGAAAAGTCTTGGGAGCTGGCCTCCGGCGCATCATTGACGTCGAACCGATGGTTACTCGCTACGATACGATCGTCGGAGACGGTGATTGTGGTGTTGGCTTGAAACGTGGTGCCGAGGCTGTTCTTGCACTCCTTGAGGACAACTTGTCAAGCCTGGATGACGATGTGGTTAAAACCGTCAACCGCATCGTTACCATTGTGGAGAACACCATGGATGGTACTTCCGGTGCCATCTACGCCATCTTCTTGAACGCACTTGTGCACGGCCTCCGGGAGCAAGACAAGGGCAAAACGACTCCTGCCACAGCTGAAATCTGGGGCGAGGCCTTAAAATACTCGCTTGGAGCCCTTGGAAAGTACACACCCGCCAAGCCTGGTGACCGTACTATGATCGACGCCCTTGTTCCCTTCTGCGCTACCCTACGCGACACCAAGGATGTCCATGCTGCTGCTAAGGCCGCTCAAGAGGGAACCGAAGCGACGAAGAGCATGAAGGCCAGCTTGGGACGGTCTGTCTACGTGGGTGGTGAAGACGAGTGGGTGGGTAAAGTCCCTGACCCGGGTGCTTACGGACTCAGCGAATTCTTCACAGGGCTTGTTGAAGCCATTCCGAAGCAAGCATGATTCCTCGAACCTCGCGGTACATATTGCATCTCATGAAACACTTTAATTCTAATCGATGACATCATGACAATTGCAGGCGTTCTGTTTTATGCTGTGTTCATTGTTGGATTTATCTAGGCTTCTAATTAGTTACTATTATCTTATAGTGTATAAATTCTATGGATTTTAATATTCATATTTTCCCATTCCCGTAAGACTCCTATAACCAAGCCAAGCTATTTGAAGTGCGACAATAGGTCTCTTTTTCTAGTGCGGGCCTTTCATTGCATTGTAGCTAAGTGGTTGTATTAGAATCCATATTTATGCATCCAAAAAGCTAGTCCACGCCCCTTTCGCCGATCGAGAACACTCGACCTGCCCCTATTACCTTCGAGAAAAATCTCGAATCAGACTACCTGACTTTTCTTTCCTTTTCTAATTTTTCTAATTGGACCAGAAAAACGCCAGATGTGTCCCTTCATGATACAGTAAAACAACGAAGAACGGACATAGAGAAAGCTCATGAGAAGAAATAGAATCCCTTTTCTACTCGGCAAGGGAGCTTAGGATATACGTGTGATTGAATCCCCGACTATGGATCGCAGACTTCGGAAATCGTAGGACAGGGTATCGATATCAAGAAATAGACCGTCTTTGTCGACTCCAATAACTGGATAAGGAAAAGCTAAACATGTCGCGCATGTCACGTGGTTGGGAATAAATTCCCGAAATCAACTGAGCAGAACGAGGATGACCGAGTCACCACGCAGGAACCTAGAGCGACATGTAAGATACGGAGGTCCCTCACCAAAGTACCTCAGGCGGGGACAAATTGCATGGCACTTACATCTTGCTGATAAAGCGATCCTTGTTGACACCCTTGCCCTTACCGCCCTTGGGCTTCTCTGTCCACATTTCCTTGACGTTCTCCAATACCATGTTGCAGTGGCGGTCGAACGCCTTGACGCGAGCGAGCAGGCGACGGTTGCTACGGCAGGCGATCAGGACCTGAGTGTGTGTGCGTGTGGCGGTTTGGAGAAGAGAGAGGGGACCAGCTGTGAGCTCATGTTCCTCAACGAGCGAGACCTCGTATTCACTAGATGGGGTGTTAGAGGCTGTATATATATGCGACCGGAGATTGCGTGGATATATCCAAGAGAAAGGGTCAGATGGAAGATGGAAGATGGAAAGCACATACGTAAGCTCACTCTTGGGCTTGTTAAGCAGGTCCCTGTCGGTATGGTTAGCATCAGATCGACTAGGTTAAATTAAAGATCACGCCATGATGAACTGAATAAATGACGCATAGAATGACACATGATCTCAAGGAAAAGAGGGGTAAGTACTGGATCTTTGGGTCGGTCGACATGTTGGCGGTATATAAAGGTGGTGTGGTGGTCTGCTGGGAGAACGTCTTGATTATCTTTCCATCGGACTATCAGCTTTGTCGCTGTCTTGGACTCTTCCGGCGTCTTGGCGCGGGTCGCGGATCACGTGTCGCGTGTGTTTGCCGTGTTTGCGACAGAGCTTTTTTCTCAGTTCGCGATTGGCTGCGACACGTCGCGTCCGACACGGTACATGTCGGCGATCTTGAGAAAGCTTCTCGACATTCAAATGCAAGGCGTCTTTTCCTTTTCTTCTCCAACCTCTCACTAATTCCTCGCCCCTGCTTCACGACTCGCGGTTACTTTTCAAGTCGGAATCGAAAATCCCTGGAATCTCCTCACCTCTCTACTTATTAAGGGCCTCTTACCGCATGTCCCTTCACCCCTTTCTTCAGTCCCGCGTCCGCATTCCAGAGATCATTCCACCCCCGCTATCCTAGTTCTCTACATACCGCTGCATTCTCCCGGTCGACGCAACCTTCGATTAGATAGGCTTCACGAGTCGATAAGCCAGTGGCGTAGATCGGACGCTACCTTGCTTCAATCCTATACACCCTCCTGTGAAAACTTTGACACGTTTTCAACATTCCTACCCTGCCGATTCAACCCACGGGTTCGCTTCTTCAACGAACCTTCACCTCGTTCTGACATATTCTTATTCGGATACTTATTCTTCGGCTTGCTTATGGTTATTCCTCTCAAGTTGGTGGCATGGAATCTCAGGACGGAATTTCCGTCCGGCCTATGAGGCGTGAGCTTCCATTTCCTGCCTAATTCTACCGTGGATACTAATCATTGGGCTCCAATTCAACAGTGAAGGTACTTTACACATTTGACGATGCCAGCAAGACAAATTGCCTGGCCCGGTGGCCTCATCTTCTCGATGTCCAGACTGCTGCCCTGGACGAGAAGACGCAAATTGGGGTCATCGAGCTGAAGACTTGTATTCAAGCCATTGTCTCCGCCAGGTTAGTTGATCATTTCCAGTCTTCGAGATTATACTCATTTTTTATTTGTCTGATTGTAGCCCCGAATTGGTTGCGAAATTGGGACAAGACTACACCGTTTATGCCTACGATTATTCCGAATATGAGACGCCTTTGGTTGGACAGGGAATGTTATCATGGGTTCTCGCTTCGGCTTCTCCCACGCCAAATGCACCGGCTCATCAATCCGAAACCATGGTTACTGGTCGTGTTTGCAAAAATGTGCTGGGATTGTTCTCGAAGGGTGCTCAGGAGACTCTGGAGGTGAAGTTGCGGTTGGTGCCTGTTCCCACGGTCATGCAGAGCGAATACCTGGAAAGCATGCGGAAGTATCGGGAGTTGAGCACTGTTATTCCCCACGAATTCGATGCGCAAACGTGGACCAATTTCTTGCGCCAAAACCCGGGTTTGATGACCCCCTCTATCACCCAGCAACCGGAACGGACGGAATCGCCCATGGACCACGCCGGAATTGAGCGTTTTCATCAATTACTCAGCGAGGGCTCGACGCCAAGGGAATTCCCACCTGTCTCTGCAAATGGGCCATATCGATCTGTATCACCTTCGCAGTCCACCTTGGCAGCTGGAAGCAGAGTATCCACCCCTGGGGGCCAACGATCACATTATCAGCAGGACCAACTTTCTCAACCGGCACAGCAACAATCACAACAACCCCGTTTGGAGCGCGCACAGAGTGATATCATCCGTCCGTCCTCTAGCGCTTCTATGCGTGATTCAGACTTTGCTATTCAGTCTCGGTATGCCAGCCGCAGGGGATCCATGCAGTCGGGTTACGGTAGCTGCGAGGAATCCGGAGAGTCCCAACCTCGGAAACGAGCTAAGCTGTATCGCGCGGAATGGCCTGGGAAGTCAGACTTCAATATCGAGAGGCAGCCAAGCTCACTGCGGGTAGCAGCGAGCACAGCTGCTTCTGTTCGTATTCACCGCCCCACGCCAATCAATCCTGCTATTGCTGCTGCTCAGAACTCCCATGAAGAACCTGTTCGGCCACCCACCCCTATCTCTAATACGAATGACCTCCCTCGTCGGGCACGTGCCATGCCGAGCCTCCTGCGTGAATCGTCCGTTCAGAGCAACCACTACGAGTCCCCGTATAACGCGAGCGATGACCAAACTCCCATTGAATTTAATGCGCACTCCCCAGAAGAGTCGCGTTACCAAGGTCTTTTCGAGCCTTCATTCAGCATGCCATCCTCGCCTCCCGTATTGGACTGCAGCTTCCCAGCCCGTTCCAGCCCAGTTCTCCCACCTATGGTCACTGATCCCGATTCTGGATTCATGAGTGGTGGCATGGAAGAGCTTTTAGATGAAGACATCGGCACACCATTAGAAGATTACACAAGGCCTGTGACGAACGACACTAGCAGTGAGAAGCGAAGAGACCACCCAGCAGTGCAGGCCAGTTCACCTGTTGGTGCTCGCCTGAACCAGGAGCCCCGAAATGAGAATGCCGTTGTCGGCGATGATTCCCAAGGACAACCTGCGAAGGAATCAGCACCCGTACCTCCCCGTGCACCGGCTAGCGCTGCGGGCTCGAGGCCGTCTTCGCGCGCAAGCTTTAGGCAGGCTCCCAAGCCTCTGGCCCCTGCTCCTATGTCCCAGAGCGAAATAGAGCAGCTGATAAGCGCAATCCCCGCAAGTGACCCCGTCATGCCGTCACAACCTCAAAGCCAGAATTCCGCTTGGGCAGCTGGCCCAATGAGTGATTTCACCGCTGCAGAGACCCCTGCTCCGCAACGGGTTGCAGAGGACGGTAAGGTCCGCAGCGGGGCGGGTGCGAGGAGGTTGAGACAGGTTCAGGCACGCCTAGATAAATGCATTCGCGATGGGCAGGTTCCCCCTTACTGTGAGAACTGTGGCGCGATTGAAACCCCCACATGGCGTAGGGCCTGGTCCAAGGAGATAGTTGGGAACGAGCAAGAGGCAGATGAAATGAAGAAGGATTCGGGCATGTTGTTTTGGCAGTCTCTGGAGCGGAATGATCAAGACAAAGTTACCAAATTCAAGATCTACAAGAAGAGTCTCGCTGATATCGACAATGACTTTGCTCAAGTCCTTCTTTGCAACCGTAAGTGATAAAGATATGCTAACTGATTTGCGCTCTTGATACTGACATGAAAAAAGCATGCGGCCTTTGGCTTCACAAGTTTAAGTCCATGCGACCAGAGAACAAATGGAACAAGTCTTCAAACGGCAAGAGGAAGCGTCCCCCTAGGAACCGCAGGGGAGGTGGCCCCCTTTCAACCAATGGTGCTGCAACTAGGAGCCGGAGCAGAGCCGAGTTGACCAAAGTGGATGGTTCCTCGCCCGTCGCATCCGATGCCTCGTCGCCCGCAGCAGAAGACGGCATAACCCCTCGTGATAGCAACAGCAACGAAAACGAGAATGAAGATGATTCACAGGAACCCCAGTCCAAGCGGCGGCGCGCAACCAGCTTGGAGCCTCGGAAGTCATCCGACACTGCGGGAAGTCGTTGGCAAGAGGACAACGCGATCGAGGCCCTCAGGCGAGCTATCCAGTCTAGTCCTGCTAGGAATCTCGAAAGTCGCAATTCTGCCACGGCGGGTGAGAATAGTCTTACTCCCAAATCTGTACGGAGAGTTCTGTTTCCTAATTCGCAGGCTGAGGGCGGCCCTTTGAAAGCTCTAGGCGAGTCGGTTTTGAACAGCCCACGCCGTAGCCCTCGCGTGGCTTCTCACGAGTCTGCCAAGCAACCTCAGGACAAAGAGAATGGCACTTCTGACCTAGACTGTCTCTTTGAGAGCCCGAGCTTTGAGCTAGACTTGCCTACCAGCCCTACACCAAGGCGGCGCAATCCTCGCACCGGCGTGTTGGGTGAAAAATCGCTTTCGTTGCCGGGTCAATCACCTTCGTCGTCTAAAGTACGCAAGGACATCAACACAACCCCCACGAAACTTACCGCGCAACGGCTTCAGCGCATCCAAAATAGCCCCGGATCAACACCACGCCAGGGTAAAACCCCCAAGCAGTCGCGCCTTCACATGCCTGAATTGCCATCTCTTCCCGATGATGCATTCAGTGCGGATGCATTCGACGGAATGGATAAAGTGATTGTGGACATCTTCTCCGATGCTTCTGCCACCAACGCTGACTCCTTGTTCGGCTTTAACCCAACAAAATGTCCATCCAGTAGTGGCAACTGGCCAGATTGGTTGCCGTCCGACTATGTCTCGCCCAATGGATCTGAGGAAGAGCAGAACAACGGAGATGATGATTCTGGTAATCTCATAAACACGCTCTTATCCAACTCAGACCTTCATAAAGAAAACCACTTTGATATCTTCAACCTTGATTCTAACATCCTCGATTCTGGATTTTTCAGCTCTGATGCCCTCGATACCGACGTTATGGCCCTGAGTGTCAAGGCTAAGTCGGCCGAGGTATCGAGCTACAAAGAACAAGCACAAAACAATACGCCTAATGCTTCATGAGTTCCTTTGACCATTAATTTCTTTTTACCCTTTAACTTTTATTATGATGAGCATCCGAGACTTTCTTTTGCATTTGTTTTGTTCTTTTTGATATGTTTTTCAAGCGACGGCGTTGGTGGATTGGATCCTGTACCGAGAGTACACCGTTGGTCTTGGGATTGTCCTGTCTTTTAGTCTCCATTTTCATGTTCAAGTCATGATTAGCCTGCATCAGGCACTGCCGAGTGTGCCGCCGACTTTACTATTACTATATTTACTCGAAAACCGAGGACGAGTTGACTCGTCTTGACTTACGATAACAAAAATAACAAATACAAAATAAATCGAAGAAAGAAGCAATCTTGTCTGTTCCTGAAGTAGATGTAGCCAGAATCCACCGACTAAGTATTAGTCTAACGGACCTTACACATCCCTAATGGATAATTGTCTTAGCTGCACTATACGAGGCCGAACGAAAATCGCCATAATGCAAAAGCATAATAGCATAATCAATATTCGACGTTTTCTTAATGCCACTAATTTACTGCATCGCCAGCATGCTTATATGTCACCCCTATGTCTAGAGAAAAATCCCAAACATATGCACCCTGGTATCAAAAAACAAGAGAAAAAAGACAAAAACAATCAATCACTCAGCCGCCTCATAAAAAAGCGACTTAAACCGATGTGTCGCATTCACAACATTCTCATATATCTTATAATCTGTCAAAGAACCACCATCAGCCGAAGCTCCCCACATAATTCCTTGCCCCCCAGCACTAAGCTCCTAACAACAAAGCCAAAGAAGCGAAGGCCAACAAGAAAGGAAGGGAACAACATACCGCAATCAGAGGGATTCCCCCAATCAAAACTACCCAACACCCTCACACCAAGACCCTGTTCACACCCATCGGTCAGCATAAAACAATGCCTCGTCTGCTATAGTCCGTAGGATCTAGAAGATATAGTCTCGGAATGTCGAAAACTCACCTGCCCCTCAACATCAGTCACCTTCCCAACAATCTCGACCAACTTCCCCATCTGCAGATGCGAATCGGGCTTCAGGATCAGCGCCACGTCTCCGTTATCTCCGCATGTGATGGTCGCCGTATCGCCGCGGAGAGCTGTTACTGTGCCCAGTAGACGGACGGTGTTTGTGACGTGGGGGTTGGCGTTGGAGGGGTGGAAGGCGTGGAGATGGGCGGGGAGGACGCGGGGTGTTTGGAGTGACATTTTCTTTTCTTTTTCTTTTATCTTTTGGTTCGTTTGGAGGAAACTGAGGTTATGGGTTGTTGTTTGTGGGAGGAACGGAGATTATATCGAATGATTAGGTGGAGAGAAAATGTGGAGTGGATGTTATTGACTGATCGGTGGGATTATCAGTTCGCACTGATGATCGCGAGGATATCCATATCGGAGCGTGACGCGTGGTCATGTGACTATATATTGGCCCATTACACTAACCGTTTTGGTGTTGCCCTATGGGGTTCCCCGGTGGTGGAATGGCCGAGTTCATGCATTGAGATAAGCACTAAGTCTTAGTTAGGAATATTAGATCCTTTTAGCACGTAAAGCTAAGAATCTATGAAATTAGGTACCTTGCTACTCCCTTGAAGGGATATTAGTGCAGCCACTGATGTCAATCCCACTGTTCCCTGAAGTCTAGTATGATATCAGAGAACCTCGGCGCAGTAGCTTGGATGATGCATTTCTCTCAATTCTCTTGTCATCAGCTTCACAAGCAGAAGTGGGGTCATCACGCCAAACCATGACTTCTATTCCTTTGTTGTAAAGGTTGGACTGTTCGGGACTTCTTGGTTAGTCCTACGCTATGAGGCCGAAAGACAAAACACTAGTATATAAGCAGGGGTTCGAAGGTGAGGGAAACCCCTCACTCACTCAGTCACGCACTCTGCATCTCACACCTCGAGGTCTGTGAACAACATGACACAAACTATCGCACTACCGCTGCCCGGCATCGAGCATGGCAAAAGAATCCTCGCCTCTGTGGTTGAGACACGGGCACGAGATGGACCAGGAAGTACGTGGGTGTCTGTGCCTATTGACAATGAAGACTTGTCGCGCGGATTTAAGGATGTCAGCTTCCAGAGGCTGAATAACGCAGCGAACCATGCCGCTCGGTGGCTGAGTGAACACCTGCCAGGAACATCGGAGCCGTTTCAATGTTTCGCTTATACGGGACCTAAGGACTTTCGGTATCCTGTTCTCGCTGTTGCGGCTGCTAAGATCTAGAAAGTGGTAGGTAACTTGAGATTTTGGGGGAAGAGGAACATCGATCGCTGACAACTGAGCCGTGATAGATGGTTCTTCCGTCTCCTTTGGTAACCGCTGAGGCGTAGCTACGGATTCTCGAGAAGAAGTAATGTACTGTGTATCTGCGACCGTCATCAATGGCAAGCCAAGTTGATGCAATATTGCGTGAGGCACCACATGTTCAGGCTGTCGGGGTTCCAGAGTTAGACGAGTTTTTGCGGGAAGATGAAGCTGTACCATATAATTACGATAAAACTTGGGACGAAGGAAAGGACGACCCCTGGCTTGTATTTCACACATCCGGCACGACACGTCCGTACATGCATCATATCTGGATATTTCTTCGTTGGATTGTCTGCTGACTGCTTGTCTAGGTTATCCGAAGCCCGTTACCTATACTCATAGCATGATGGCTGGTCCCGATATTGCCGCGTCACTGCCGGATGTTGAGTTGGGGTATATCCACCAGTACGCCTGCCGAAGGTGGTATACGCCAGTACCATCACTGCATGTAAGTCCTCACCACCACAAATGACTCTATAGTTGCTGTAACTAAGCAAGTTACCCAGTTCGTAGGGACTGTAATGACACTCGCCATACCGACCTTCTTGCACACCATCACAGTCGTGGGTCCCCCGGTACCGCCATCAGCAGAAGTAGTCATGAAAACCATCCGATACAGCCACGTCGAAGGCGTCCTCCTACCACTGGCACTAATCGACGAGCTCTGTCAAACTCCATCTGGTCTGGAGGCTCTCCGCCAACTAAAATATGTCCATTACGCAGGCGTTCCCCTCTCGAAAAGACAGGGGACCAGCTAGCTTCCCACGTCCGTCTATATAGTCCCCTGCATCGGCAGCACAGAAGCTGGTGGCTACTTCACCCAGATTCACAATCACCGCGACGCATGGGGTTACATCTCCTTCCATGACTACGCGGGAGCGGTATTCGAAAACCGCCTTAATAACCTCTACGAACTAGTCTTCACTCGTCTCCCTGGGGACTCGCCACAACAGATCTTCAAGTTATATCCAGGCCTCGACCGCTTTGAAACCAAGGATCTCTGGGCAGAACATCCGGTTCACAAGGGTCTCTGGAGGATCATCGGCCGCACTGATGATTACGTCTAACTCTCTCATGCGGACGGACTGCACGCCTCACCCTTAGAACCGGAAATTGAGACACATCCACGTGTCAGATCTGCTTTGATCGGTGGCCATGGCCGTCCTGCTCCTGTACTTATTGTTGAGCTGTTCTCAACAGAGGAGGGGGAAAGCCAGCAGGAGTTGGTCTCTAGTCTACGGCCATATATTGAGAAGGTTAACGCCCAGGTTCATGACTGTGTGGGACTTTCTACGGAGCGGGTCATTGTTGCAGCGGAGGAGAAGCCATTTGTCCGGACCATTAAAGGTAGTGTTGCTAGGATGCAGACTCTCGGGTTGTATGAGGATGAGATTGCGATGTTGTTTAGTTAGGGTAGGCTTACCTAATTATAGGTATGTAGGCTTCAGTACTGGGAATCTAAACGATGCTGCACTAGAAGAATTACTATCCTCGGATAGAGAAAGGAAACGACAACAAACGGGAGATACCTCAAATGCCATACCATCTAATCCCCGGCCTCAAACCGTTGTTGTATTCAATAGAGAGTATAGATCTTGACACACTGGTCATGGCCAGGAGGATTATAAGCCCTCCAAATGCTGTACTAGAAGACTTTTTCCCAGCTGCAGGCATGGATAATACTATTCAGGCATCGACTGAGTTCCTCGAGACTTTCTGTCCTGATTCAGTTCACTATAGACATTCTCGCAGATCTACCACACGGGGAGCACCGTTGTTGCAACGATAAAAGCCTTCCTCAAGATACTACACGCGCGATTAATGTTACATGGCATATTCTCCTCATTTCCTTAAGGATGTATTCTCTCGATGCACAATTCAACGGATTCAGTATCTCTATATTCCAATCCTATACCATTTTTCTCTGACGCGAACGGCTTTCTTTTTTAATTCTCAATCAGGTCTCTCATGACACTAAGGATGTTTTTTCACGTTCTCTGAGATATGAGAAGCAGCCATAGCTGGCATTGTAGCGAGGTTCAAACGAAGGCACTGTACAAAATTTGAAGCCGATCATGGATGATGACTCTATTGGCAGTTCTAGCAACATGTGTGAGGTGTGTGAAAATAAGGTCATTTGGAAGCCCTACAGCTAGCGGAGGAGATTGAATAGAGCCCATGACTATCTTATTTAGAACTGAGAAACTCGTTAGGGAAGTTGGTGGTGAGGAAGTTAGACCGTAAGGAATCACCAAAGCATTAGTTGATGACGACGAAGTATGTGCCTTATCTACACACCACGCTGTATTAATATGAATTGATACCCTAAGTACTGTAGATTACACGTGTCTCGCTCTGCGTGAGAAAGGTCGATCCATGTAGGATAGACTTTTTCTTTTCTTTTCTTTTCTAGAAGAAAACAATATTGATAGAAGAATGCGTCAGCTATGCCTAGAATGTGCCAAAAAAAAATAGTCCTCCGGAAAATAAATGCTATTTATGTTTCTCTGATGATAGCATAAACATTAGTTGTTTGGTAACGACTCCAATAGAGCTCAAGGATTACAAGAAAACCACTAGCGCTATACTATGGGGATCTTTATAATGGGTAACAGATTGATCCAGAACTACCAGAGCCACATCCCCTGTGTTTCTGTGGCCATGCTTCTTCCATCTACCAGTAAAATCATACCAGATAGGATCCAGTCTCAACGGTTTTCCAGTCAGTCCTAACTGACTGGTTGCTCTGATATCTATTCCCCCGGAACTAATTGAATCTGTGGTTGTTGACTCGCCACTTAGATCAGAAACATGTTCGTGTGAACCGTCCATGACTAGAGTAGTGAATATACAATCCTTAGGTTTTGCACGCTGTATAACCGGTTCAAGATTTTCAATGGTATTTTTGGAGTTTTGCTCATGACCTAGGGTTTTTAATTGCACGTGGACTCTCACATTCGCAGTGATAACACGCACTATCATTGAGGTAGCTTCATAATGAGAACATCATGGATACAACCGCTAGGAGGTTATATTGGACGAAACTTTATACCGATCAGAAGCGCAGTGGGTTCTCAGTATCCAGCAGAATATCGAAGAGTAGCAAACAGCACTATGAAGTCTGGATTTGGAGAAGTTGTTTGGTATTAGAGAAGCGGAACGCGGAATTCTTTCAATAACATGCTCGTATCCTTCCAAAGACAGATTCCTACGTTGACTGGGGAATACATTAAGTGTATGATTGATATTCTTCTCTATGTCCTTAGCTTTGAACATCTCCAGAGCCTTGCTAGGAGAACCTTATTGGAAGTGTTATCAATCGAGCTTCACTTCTCTCTTGAGACCGTACATAACTAAATCTCGAGACCTTAAACTTGTCAGGATATACTTAGCTGATAGTTGCAGACGTTCAGTAGAGCCTAAAGGATTGCGCTCTCTCATCAAAACGACAGCTAGTGTTCTTCAATATCTTCCCTAGTCGAGACTGTAATATCTCTAGACTGCTGATGTCTCCCAGCTAGGAGATTAGCTCCAGTCTTAGCTTTCCTTTCAGTCCATTGTATAGAACATTGTTCAGAATAGTACCGGATACTACACGGTCAGAATCAACAGCTGGCAAAGACTCAGGTCATGGAAATCAAGGTCACGGATTATAAGTTACGAAGACCGATGAGCATTGCTCGGTCTGCATCTTTGGACCCAGCAAAAAAGAAACTCTCAACCTGCACGTGAAGATTCTGGCTTTCTTCAACTGAACGACGCCACTGTGCAACAACAAGAAGGACCTGGGTCTTTACTACACCTGGAGGAATGGTAAGGCCATGATTATCCCCATGCATTGCTATCATGAACTTTATAGCTCGAGCAGAGAGAGATAACATGTGTTCTGCGACACGTGTGTCTGTCGACAGATCTTCAACTGCAATATCATACTCCTTGCTGACCCTTTGACCTAATTCTCGACATCTCTCACCTTCAACTCAATCATTGATCCCAGGAATACACCCTACAACTGTGCTGGTTCTCAGATCGTTAGGATGACAAGCTCTCTTGCTCTATAGCCCATTTACAACGGGGACAGATGCACAATCCTCAAGAGTCTATTAACTACTAGTAATAATGCTCCGCTTTGCGGAGGCTTGGGTATCTCTGGAAAAAGAAAAGAAAAGAAAAGAAAAAATGACAAAAATGACAAAAAAAAAGTACAAAAAAAGAAAAAAAAAAAACCAACCTTGTCCTTATCCTCCCACCCCCAGCC